GGTCCTGGGTTCTATAAGAAAGCAGGCTGAGAAAGCCATGGGGAGCAAGCCAGTAAGCAGCACCACTCCATGGCCTCCTGACTGACTGACTGGCCCCATTGCATTTGGACAGGAGCGCTTACCAAGTAAAACTCACTTTGTTGCCCAGAATTAAATAAGGGAAGGTGTGGGGTTCCCTTCAGGAGCTGCTACCACTGACCTGAGGACCTTCTGCCAGGCCCCACCTCTTCAAGGTTCAGCCACCTGCCAACAGCACTGCCTTGACAACAAAGCTATTAACATGGGGACTCTGGAGGACCAAGAGCAGCTCTTTCATATAGACGCATGTAGGGGACAGTCTGATATTCCGACAAGGATATGTTCTGAAAGCCACATGGTGGGCTAATTTAGTCACTGTACAGCATAGAGGCCACTAACACAAACTAAGATAGCTAGATGTCATTAGACCACGTTGGTTGGCTGTTGCTGTTTGCTTGGATTTTTATTTCTCTGACATTGCCTCAAAATTCTCTTTGTAGCTTAGACTGGCAGCAAACTCATGATCCTCCTGCCTCCACCTCCTCTGGAATAGTACCTGGGCAGCACCCTGCAACTCAATCTTATGAGACCACTGTTGAGTGTGGTGTGTTGTGAGCCAAGACAGTGCATGGCTACATATAAACAATAAAACGGGAATATTCCTTTCAAACCCCTTACTGCCTCTCAATTCTTTGACCATTTCCTCTCTTCAAAGAACCGTGGACCCTGTGGTCCTTCACCGTTAGTCAGCTATCAATATAACAGAAGCTGAGGTGGCTAGCTTTTAAACAGAGAGGATTAATTCTGGCTCATGGTTTTGTGGGCTCTGGTGCATGGCTTTGCTTTGAAGCCTGTGGTGAGCATTGTGGCAGGAAGCAAAGTCCCGAACTGCTCACTTCACAGCCAGAAAGGATCAACAACAACAAAGACTGAAGCGGGGACCAGAGTCCACTTAACTTTTGAAGATATGCCCGAAGGGTCTGCACACCCAGCCTTTACCTCTGGGGGCCCCTCAGGATCTGTACTGTAGCACTCAGTCCTTCTCATGCCCACTCCCGGCATCCTGACATTACAGCTACAGATTCCTTTTCATGTACACACCCTACTCAACTGTGCTGTTTAGGTCATTCCCTACAGGACCCAAGTTCTAAAAATGACTTAACCTGGTCAAATGTACCAGTTTAGAAACCTTACTGTATTTTAATTTATGTTCGCATATGTTTGCCTGTGCATGTATCTGTGCACCACACTCATGACCAGATCTACTGATCTCCTGGAGTTACAGGTGTTTGTGAGCCATCATGGGGGTGCTGGGAATCAGACCCACACAGGCCCTCTGAAGAGTGGCAAGTGCCCTTAACCACTGAGCCCTCTCTCCAGACCCAACTTTACTGTATTTCTAGATGGCCCTGCCTCTCTCAGCTTTCCCTCTTACCATGCCTGACAATAATGTTCCCTTTGTTCCTATACCAACACTTCGTCATCCTCCTCTGTTCTGCTCCTGGCCACCTCCCGGTCCTGATCGGGGCCCAGACTGGGAACTCAGTGCCAGAGCTTGAACTGGGAAAGAATGCAGACTAATGGACTAGTCTCGGTAAATTCCTGACCCTCCACTAAAGGTTTCCTTGTGTCTAGAAAGCTTGTTCTGCTCACTTGTCTCCACGCAGGCATGCCTAGATCTCTCTGTTATGACTTTTAGTTGATGCCATGTTAACTAGAGGAGGCCAGATGGCTACAACAAACAGACCCTGGAGCCTTAAGGCTCTAAGTAAACACAAATCCATGTCGTTCACATAATCGAGTGTTCTGGGCCAAGAAGGGGAAGCTCTTCCTCCACACACTTTCTCGTGGTTCTACCAATTCCAGTAGTAATTGCGTGAAGTGATCTGGATAACTGAAGCAGAGTGTGTCCTGGATCCAGCTGGCAGAGTGGAGAAACACCTAGAGGAGGTAAAGGGTCCTACATGGCGGTGACAGGCAGAGTCCCTGCTCATCGTCTATGGGAAATAACGCATAGGAGAGCTAACCCAGAGAGGCTGAGGAAAGGAGTCTGTTCAGGGGCACAAGTCGTGACAGACGATTAGCCGTCCTGCAAGACGACCTTGCTCTAGGGACACTCTGTTCTTGAACTATCAATCCATCCACTTACTTCAACATGCCCTGTGTCTCTAGGCAACCCTGAGCCGGAAAGTAAGAGTCTCTAAACCCCTCAGCGAAAACATGGCTGTTGTGCTGATCGTGGCAGCCAATCACAACCCACACCGCATGGTTTCCCCTCATGTTGTGAGTCTCCATGGTGTGTAGTCCACACTCCCGGGCCCAGCTTTGATGAGACTGCAGTCCCCTGCTTTGGTGCCTTACTCAAGTGTCCCTCTCTTCCTCCCTGCCTGCCCCGGACTCCTCCGTTGACTTTCCTCATCTAGAGCTGAGCTTCCCAAGATCTGATGGGGTCACCTCCTGGAGGTTCTTTGAGGTTGCAGATTCGAATGGGCGGGTCTGTGTTGTGCCTGAGATCCACAGTTTCTCACAGACTTGCTGGGGATACACATGTAGCCATTCTTGGGGTAGCAAGACTCTAGTGATGATGTATCTGGAGACTGAGTCTGCCCCCTTCTCTCGTGGCAATACCCTGCTGGGCTGAGGAGTTTCCAATCTGTTTTCTTTTGTGGTGTGTGTGTGTGTGTGGTGTTCATGTACATGCAGGGGGATGTGGTTATCATTCTTCACATGTTATCTTTTTGTGGGGAGTGGGAGGGTAGCTAACAAGACTGAGGGATCCACCTGTCCCTGCCTGCTAATCTTTGGGACAAGAACTTGTTACCATGCTGGGAGTTTTTACATTTATTCTGGGGTGAGAACTCAAGCTAACCACTGAACTATTTATTCCCCAGCCCCCAGTGTACTGTCCACGTTCAGTTCTTTCAGCTGTTTCAGAACTGCTTTAACTTCTTAAGGCCACATCTATTTGGCTGCCCTCAACCCCTTCCTATCCAAACTGATCGTCTTTTCTCAAAAAGTAGCTGTTTCCTCCTCTTCTAAGTGTTCACTTTCCCTCTTACAATCATCCGGTCTCAAGATCTCATTTTCTCTCTTCCCAATCAGATGTTCAAATCCTGTAGAATGCACCTTCACATCACCCCTCAATCATTTAAAATTCTTCCTGTCTTCCTTTTATCTCAGTCTGGACCCCCTCCTGTTGGCCCCAACCCCTGGATCAATCTTTCTGTGTAACCACTGGCGTTGGACTCACTTTCTGATCATCTCCGCAAGTGTTGGGGGCTCATAGCCGTGTGTCCTTACCCTTCGATAGCTCATCTTTTATTATGGTCTGCCTGGTCTACACACGGGGCTGCCAGTTTCCCACCTCTAACATCTGCAGTAGTTACAAAGCAAAAGCCTTCATTTCGGCAAACTTCTAAACCCTAAAAAAAAAAAAATCAAGTACTGCGTTCAACACCAGGCCTTACACTTGGAACTCCCCCCACCCCCATTCTCAGTCGTCTCGGCCACTTGTCAACACCTCCAATCTCATCGTGGAACGCAGCGTCCAATGGCCTCCATCCAAGGTCTCCCCGCAAAACCCCACCTCTTCCCAGGCCAAGTCCAAACGCCTCCTCCCTCAGGCTTCCCCACAGATGCTCGCAGACCTCGGATCCGGAGTAGCATTCTATTTTTCCACAGTGCCTTAGAGTGGTCTAGCCTTTGCCGTGATTCTCTGCTTCGCTCCCTACTGTGTCCCCCCCCCCGCCCACGTCTCACCCGCAGCGGTGACTTGCGCGGGACAGCGACGCGCAACGCGCACGGCTGAGCTCCAGCTCTGCCGGCAGCCGACGGACCGACTTGGGTAAGCCGCTTAACTTTGCAAAACTAGAGCGGCCCCGTAGGTGCTCGGGGCGACAGCACCGAGCGGTCCCGTGCTCTCCGGGGAATCCGAGGCTGTCCGGCTGTTTGCATCTCGTGCGGCACCGCCCACTCTCGCCGACTGGAGGTCCGCCTCCGCCCACGGGCCTCCCCACAGCCCAGCGATCCCGCCGCGCGGCACCCGCGGCGGCCTAAGCCTCCTCCCGGAAGGCCTCCCACCTTCCCGGCTCCGCGACCCCGAGGACCGCGGAGCCGCCGCCTACGCGAGCCGTTTGGACCCTGCGCGGCCCCCGTAGCGCGGCTCCTCCAGCAGGTGGTTCTGGTCCTCCGCGGTCCGTCACCCGCGGACCTCTCCTCGGCGTCCGCGTCCGCCGCGCTGCGACCCTCAGGAAAGAAGTCCCGCGCGCCCGGCCGCGGCGGGCGCCAGGCCTGCGGGTCCGCCCCGCCCCGCTCTCCGCGCGCCGCCGCCCTCCGCG